TGCCGCTGCCGGTTAATCGAGTGGGACCGTAGTTGCACTAGCATCTCCTGTCGCCGGGCAGGTAAGCAAAGAAAGCCGTTGGGCTGGGAAAAGGCCACGTACCGACCCCTCTGCCTAGCTAGTTGTGGAGTTGAACACCGAACAACCAGCGGTGACAATTGACCCAACACCGCCCTGGAAGCCACAGCTCAAGCACCGGGGTAAAGAGATCCCGATGACTACCTCGGTCAAAGGTGACAATGAGCATCTACTCGCCTTTGACCTTACCAAAGCCTTGTTGTTACCGACCGACGTGATAGGCAGCGACCACGTATCGGACACCCGCTGGTGAAGTCCTCGGTCAAGTCCATGACCCGGGTAAGGACTCTGCGTACTGTGGTCTAATCTGCCCCACGGGGTCATGTCATCGGCACCGAGCTCTAGGTGAACGTCGTCCGGGATACCATATTCTTCCCGGAACGTGGCTAAAGCGACTGGCGTGTCGACCAGGAAGTGGTAGCGCCCCATGTGTGGCCGGCTGGTTTTAGCGTGGCTGAGGTGGTTTGGCATAAACTCTGCTTTGGTGGCTGCTCGGTCTTTGAGAGCCTCGGTGTTGGTGTGTGGTCTCCTTGGACTTTGCAGGAAAAGGAGGGTAAGTGTAAGTGGGAGTGCGATCGCGCAAAACGAGCTTGACTTTAGCTCGATCAGGTAGAGTGCCAGACCACCTCGGTCAAACGGACCAGATGTTAGCCCGGTCGAGCAGTCAAGTCCCCTGCCTACCTCGGTTTCTACAGGGGTTTTTGCAAACTTGCAATTTGCGCGGTTTTGATGTTTTTTGGGATCAAAAGAAGACTTGGAGCCTGGTCCGCTCCAGATCTTCTTGTGTTCATCACTAGAATTGAAGAACAGCGAAAAAAATAGGGGCTGGAGAGGTTCTTTGGGGGGGGATATCCTAAAACTTATGGACTTTATGCCCCAGAATGTGAAATACCAAATAAAAAAGAGAGCAACAAAGAGGATTCGAAGAACTTACCAGTTTGAAGGTAGAGGCTACCTCTTCAAGCACGAACAAAGAAGAAGAACAAGAATGGAGGTCAAGCAATGTAGCTCAAAGACGTCTGGAATGAAGGAGAGTCAATAAGAACAAAGTGAAGGCAGGGTTGGCATGTTTATAGGAGTGAAAAGGTCGCCCAAATTTGAATATGAAGGGACAGTTGGGTTGGCTGCTCGTGGGCCAGTAAATGATTGACTCGTGTCCCAATCGACGGCGGCATCAGAATTGAAGAAACAGGAAGGCGAGTCGAGGCGTCAGCCGAGCAAACTGATAAATCGAGATCAGGATTTAGCCCAGTTGAGGCTTTGCAAGTTAAGGACCGAGAAGAATCTACCCCGGTCGGTTCATGTAATCCCAGTCACGCTTTTGCGGACGAAATTAAGGGGCAATTGAGAGGGAGATTTATGGTCTGGCTTTGGGCCGTGGAAGAAGCCGGATAAGATGGGGCCGAGCAAGTTTAGGCCTAGCTAACTTGGGCTTACCCGGGGCTGATCTCGCTCGGTCGTGGCCAGGGCCTGAGGACGGTCTCATGTTTTGGACCGAGCTTTCCCAGATTGGAACTTGCTCGGTTGAGGCCCATCCCCGAGGTCCACCTTTGCCGAGACAGGCTTCTGTTACCCAGGTTTTGTAGGAGCACGATTAGCTCCATTTTTCCGGAATGCTACCGAGCTCGACTCTATGGAGTTCGGCGAATGGAGCACTTGGGTACGTTGCGCGGCGCGATCAAGAAAGGCCGAGGTGGTTTCGCCGGTCTGCCGGGTTCCGGTAATACAACTTGACGGTTTGGTTAGATAGTAATTACAGGATTTGTACTGACAGATGGGAGAGCAGCACCACGTGTCAAGAGACTAATGGGAGCAGATTTGGGGGCAGAAAGTATATAAATGTGTCTGCACCCCCCATGCTGGGACAGAACATCATTTGGTGAGAACATCCTAAACATAAAACTCTCTTCTCTCTCTCTAGATCCCGGAGTGTGTGCTAACTTGATCGTCGGAGGGGTTTTCCGGCCATACACCGCTGGGTAGCTCACCGCCGTTGTATTCACAGGTTGATCGGACAAAAAAGGAGCTTGGTGGAAAGGAGTACGGGCTCGAGTACGGGCTCTGCGGAATATTTGCTCCCTGCACAAGAGTGATTGTGAATCACTTAAGATTTGCAAGGGTTTAGGCTTGTGAAGTCTGTGTAAAATCTATGGATGATTGCTCTATGTTTATGAGGTTGCTAGCACCCCTGTGAAGCTAGAAGATAGTGAAAAATCTCAAGTGAAGCTTGAGGAGTAGATGTAGGCCTGGTTGAAGCCGAACCACTATAAATCTGTTTGTCTTCTCTTCCCTAATCTATTTACTTTCCTACTACTGCTATAGCTATCTAATATTCATGCGTTAATAATTTGATTTACCTTGTATATTAGTTATACTTCATTGTTATTTTGCTTGATTATTTACTGCTTAGTTCATCATTGTGCTTGTTAATAATTTGTTGTGCTAGTAGTTAATTTTATTGGGGTATTATTAATTTTAATTTTTAGAAATCTAATTCACCCTCTCTCTTAGGTTGCTTTTTGGGTAACAATATAGTTTCAAATAAAGACAATCAAAGATATTTTCTTTACAAACGGTTCATTTCAATGACAAAGTTGCCATATAACTTATTTTGTGTTGGTCAACTTATATGTTATTTGAAAAGTAACAAATTGTTTGGTTCTAATTTTTAGAAAAAAAAATTTCAAAAAATTTTGTTTTTTATTTTTTATATTTTAATGTTTTCAATGAATTTTAAAAATATTTTAAGCATTTTTTTTTTATTTTTTAGATACAGCTAACATAAAATATACTTAAAAAGTATAATATTTGTGAAAAAAATATTTTTAAAATACATTAAATACCAAAAAATACCAAAAAAAAAGAAGAAAATTTAGTACATTTTTCTTATTTTTGTGTATTTATTAAATTTTTTAAAATATTTTTTCACAAATATTTTACTATTTAGATACATCTAAGTAAGGTGCATCTAAAAAAGTAAAAAAATTGTTTAAAATTTAAAAAATATTTACTAAAAATAAAAAAAATACGAAAAATAAAAAACTCAATTTTCAGAAAATTGAAACCAAACACACTGAATGACCTTTTTTTTTTTAAATAAATAATGTTAGAATTTTATTGGTTATAAAATTCTGTTTCGTTCGGTTTTAAGAATCTATTTTTAGAATTTTTTTTAAAAAAAACTAAAAATTAAATTCATGAAAAAAAATTAAAAGCACATCATTTTTATATTATTTTATTTTCAGGGAGGGTAAAAATAATTTTTTAAAGTAATTTATTTTATATTTATTTTCGTTAAATTAGTTTATATTTTTTAAAAAAAATCAAATATGACGACAATTTTAATATTATTATTAAATCAATCCATTAAATAAAAAAAATCCAAAACTAAAAATATTTTATATATTAAAATATTGATTACACATTAAAATCTAATAACCATTCATTACATGATAATTATTCAAAAATATCTATTAACAATAATACAAGCATCTATTAAATAATAATCATCCAAAAATATAAACGAAACAACCACACATTATATAATTATCATCCAAGCATAGACAAAAATTAATTGATAAAAAAATAAAAAAATAAAAAAGTAAAAAATTTATCATTTTTATATAATTTTATCTTTAATAGATAGAAATAATTTTTGAAAATTCAATTTTTGTTGACATTTATTTTTGTCAAACCATTTTATATTTTATAAAATTGATGACTTTACCTTTAAAATGGAGCAATGGTGTCTTTAATTATTCTTATTTGAAAAAAGATAAAAAATTCATGATTAAATATATCACAATTGAAAGGTCGGGAAATAAAGTCATATAAACTTCAAATTATAAGGACCGTTAGTGTAATTCATTTTTTAAAATAAATGGCATATCTTATTTTGTAATATTAATACAAAAAAAGAAAATGTTTAGGATTTTCAAAAAGTATTCACAATTTTATTCATAATGACGTGATAGGATAAATGTCAATTTTTAATCGGTTCCGATTCGTAACTCGAATTTGGAGGCTCGAATTCGGAGAAGAAGAAGAAGAGAAGAAGAAGAAAAGAAGGAGGAAGATGAAGGAGAAGAAGAAGTGGACTGGAGGGGGCAACAAAATCGGGTGGATGAGGAGGCGGCAGGCGGAGGTGGAGGTGGAGGCGGAGGCAGTGACGGGCGGAGGCGGGGCTGCAATGCGACGATCGGCCAACAAGCGACGAGCTGCGACGACGACGACGACTCTGTTTCTCTCTCGCCTTTGCTCTTCTCCTGTGTTCAACGAAGAAGAAGAAAAGAAAGAAAGAAAAGGCAGAAAAAAAAAATCAAAACCCAAAACGACGTCGTTTTGAGTTTCGAGCCGAATTCAGGCCACCGAATTCAAGCTACAAGTCATTTTTCATTTTTAATTTATTACACACTTAGGGATGTTTTAGAAAGTTGGTAAAAAATTGATTTTTTAGCTTTTTAGTGAATTTTTTAATGATTTTTAAAAAAAAACTTGATAAAAATTTAAAAAATTAACTTTTTAATTTTTTATCAAGTTGTCAAATTGCTCCTTAATAATAATAGGATTTACTCCTACGCCACTTCATTAGGAATAAATTTGTAAATATAAATTTATAAATCTTTAACATTATTCATACAAAAATTAGTGCACCACATACGTGGCATTTTCTTTTATTTTGTAAGATTGGAAAAAAAGAAAAAGAGACATGTTAGAGACACCAAAAATCTAGCCACAAATTTTCTTTTATTGGGTAATTTTTTTTCCTACTAGGGCCAAGTTTGGCATCTTTCAAAAAATTCAAAAAGTCAAAAAGTCACTATCCTATTTAAATCACATCATCTCATTTAAGTCACATCACCTCTCTAACACATCAAAAAAACATAAAAGACAAGACAAGCTTTACTTGGGAAGTGGCATACGTGGCATTTGTCTCCATGGACTCTGAGTTGGAAGTACCCTCAACAACACCACACCACACCACACCACACCACGATGACAATGCCGCTTCTCCTCCTTGTTGCTTAGCCGGCGAACTAGACGGTTCTACTCTTTTCATCGCCTTCTAATCTAATAAAATCTCTCTCAGTGCTAGTTCTGATGGTTGTTATTCAAGCTACCAAACTCACTCTCCCCCAATCTTCCTCTTCTCTCTCCTCCCCACAAATCTCCTCTCTCCTCTTCGATCCCCACTCTCTCTCCCTCGCTCTCATGCACTCCGACTCCTCTTTCTCTCTCTTCCCCTCCCTCTCTCTCCCCCCTCTTTCTCTCTCCTCTCTCCCTCCTCCCCAAACCCTCATCCCCCCTCCCTCCTCCTCCGCCACCTTCCTCCGCCTCCTCAACCCTAACCCTAATTCCCCCCCTCGCCTCCTCTTCATCTCCTCCTCCCCTCTCCGCGGCGGCTCCTCCCTCCTCCTCCGCTTCTGGATCCTCCTCCCCAACTCCCACTCCTTCTCCAAGGCCCGAGTCATTTGCAATCAGACCGGCCTCAAATTCGACGATCATAAGTCGGGGGTCGTTTTCAGCGTCAATCACGGTATTTCGATCAAGCTCGTTGGTTCGATTAATGTTTTCGCCATGTACTCCGTCTCGAATTGTAAGATTTGGGTGTTTGCTGCGAAAATGGTGGATGAGGACGACAATGGGGTGGTTGTGAAGTTGATCAAGTGTGCTGTGATTGATTGCTCTGTGCCGGTGTTTGCGATTAGTGTTTCGTTTGGGTTTTTGATATTGGGGGAAGAGAATGGGGTTAGGGTTTTTCCTTTGAGGCCGCTTGTGAAAGGGCGAGTCAAGGAACATCGGCGAGAGAGTAAGAACTTGAATGATGGATTGACCAAAGATAAATTGGAAGCTCAAAGGTTGAATTTGCCGAATGGAGTGATTCAGAGAGTCAATGGAACCGATGTTTCCAATAGCGATTCGGTACTGCGCGTGAACTATGGAGCTAGTGGTCGTGGAAGCAAACGATCTGGTGATGAAGACACTCTGGAGATTTCTTCTTGTAAGTCTCAGGGTTCTGTGTGCTTTTATTATCTGTTTAATTTCTTGTTTTCATTCATGTGATGGAGGGTTGTTATGAAAATTATACTAATTAGTTAGTGATTCGCAATGAGACAGCTATAGTTCAATTTTTGTTTGTGGTGCCAAGTTTTCATATCCTACAATTAGCTCTCTACCACTGAGCCTGTTTTTGTCAAAATTCCGTTTTAAATGTTGTTGTTTCCTTAAATTTGTGAATATTTAGTCTTGATACGCATAAATCTTTGTGTGTATTTCGTGAATCATAAGACACACTCCGACATACTCCGTATCTCGTTCAGGACTGGAGCACAATAGCTGCTTAGGGGGTGGCAGGAGATTCCACTTAAGCTAATAGTTGGTGGTATATCACTCTCAGTATGCCGATGGATCTGTAGGTGTTTGTTTATATTCAAAAATTCATATCGACCTCTGATGACCAGAAATAAGTTCATATCTATCGAAGTTTGGCATGACATGGCATGAGGATGAGTATTGGGTGGTTTTGTTGTCCACACTCTTAGGTATGAGTATGGAAGTGCCAGGGCATGCAGTGGAACTGTAAGAATTATGTCTGTTATGAATTATGTGTTTGGGTTTTAAATACTATTGTTTGGTAGTTTTTAGTAGCTCCATGGTTCATGTCACACTAAAAAGCACATTTTAGGAATAAAATTATCCAATATTTGTTTTTTTTCCTTAATAATCCTTTGAGAGTAAATATGTCAATTTCAAACATGGTCAAAACGTCAAAACTAGATCTGTATAGTTTTTTGAGTACAAAGACAACTCTTTCAGACATTTGATTTACTTTAAAGGGTCAGTTGAAATAGTCAAAATTAGTCCTTATCTAAAATCAGGATGATATTACCTATTCTCTTGCATATTGTCTTGTTTTGATTTTTTCTAGTTCTCTTGTTCATAATTTAATATGCTATATATTTTGTATTTCTTTTCTGTTAGTAATCCTTTATATCTAAGATATAAGAAAAGAATGTAGTTGGAACTACCTTCTCTACTCATGATCATCATTTATTTTTCAATGATTATATTGCTGTTGTATGTCATATGTAGTATTGAGTGCTCATATCTAATTCATGATGCTTTAGTAAATCTAACATTAGACACAAAACCCAATTTGACATTCTTATTAAAAGAACCAATGCATGTTTGACACAAATGATTATTATTCATATTTATGATATGTGTTGTGTTAAACATGAGAGATGTTGTAGTTAGGCATTAAATTCTGAATTTTTAAAAATTATGTTTCGTGTGAATATGGAAGTCTATGGTCTTCTAACCGTCTTAAAAATAGAAAGGTTTCTTTGATTTTTTATATAGTAATAGACTAATAGATATCTCACAATTTATAAATATCATGCACATAAACTTGATTATGATACTTTAAAATGATTAAAAAATAAATAAAATTGGATGGGGATCCCATTTTTGGTTTGCACTGTGTTGTGCCTAAAACAAGAATTGAATCTGTGAAACATTTACCCAACAGAGGGCGCTTTGGGGGAGGGGTGGGGGGTGTCAAATCTCAAATTGAATCGTGAATCCTTTTGTTAAAATGCTGAATCGTAAGTTCACTTTGTTTAATATAGTATCAAATTATATATGCACAATGTTTAAAATGAAATAAATATCAATATAACTAAATTATATATGCATGCATGCATGTATGTATGTATGTATGTATGTATGTATAAAACCGGTTATGTCAATATAACTAATTGACCTATTTTTATTTCTTGATAGAGTGCCGAAATCAACATCGTTTTATGCATTATGCGAACAAAAACGAAAACAAAATTGAATCATAGTGAATTAGGGGTGAATCACATGATTCACTCAATTTCCGATTCAACGAGATTTGAATTATTTTGGTTGGAACTCATATGGAAGCATATGAATTGGATCGTAAATTGCCGCATGATTCTAAATACCATGGATGGAAATCAATGGTACGTACTAATTTCCAACCAAGTACAATGTGTGCCAAATTAAAACAGAAGGTATGTTCCTATTATTCTAATGGGAATGTTTTTGTTCTCAAATGATAAAATCTTATTGGCATTTTTATGGAAATGTGATTTACATTAATGAAATACAGGAGAATATTAGTAAGATAATCAATTGGCCTTGCCAAACCTCCCACTATGATTCTTATACGTGTGGACTCCTGTCACCCATGTTTGGGTTAGATATTTATTTCAATAGCCTTAACTTGCTATTACCATAGGTTTTGGCACTTGTAGTTTGTGCTATGTATCAAAATCTCTGCATCATTTATGCCATTTGTTCATAATCTTTGATGTAATTTGTGTGATTTTACAGACAAATTATTTAGGTTTTTCTCCAAGTACTGGATACTTTTACTATTCAGTTAAACATGCCATAATCCTTTGGTTGTAGTTTACCTCCTGGGGGCATTTTTATGATTTATTATATTTGCATAATTTGATACACATCATTCAACTAGAAGTTGGTTCAGTGCTTGCAGTCTTTCTTAGTGATGAGATCTCTGAAACTGTTCATTTTTCCATTCCCTACAGCAGCTGATAATGCATTGTAACTTGCAGTGAAGTTGAAATCTGTTAAACTGAGACGAGACTCTAAAGAAGGGGGCTCTTTTTTTGTGGCATTTAAGAGCGAGGTTGAGGGCTACAAATCTACTAAGGTACCATTGCAGTCAGCAAAGGCAATTTCTATCCAGGCTTTATCGCCAAATAAGTTTGTGATATTAGACTCAACTGGAGAGTTACAACTCTTGTGCCTGTCCAATCCTGTCCTTGTGTCAGAAATCCGTTGCCATGTGAAGCAGTTAACCACCAGCATGAAAGTTGAAAAGCTGGCTATTCTTCCTGATATTTCAACAAGTATGTTATGATTATTATTTTTTCTTTTGAATTTTTAAACATATTTTTTTGGAATGTGTACGCTGTCTAAATATTAGTTTGATTTCCTTGAAATCTTGTGTAGTAGTGACAGTGGTCGAACCAGAAATTTTGTCAAGTGTGGTTGGGTGGAACAATCTCATTCATGGTGTTGTGAAGAGTAAGGTGAGTTGAGAGAGAAAATGGTCATCATAAAAACAATCGTAGATCTTGTGGAGGTGGAAGGAGCTATAGATGAGTGGTTCTTCTTGATAGGTGGAACTATGTTGTGCTGAAGAAGGCCTTTGTGATGGAGCATAAGTCTCTTTGGTTTCAAAGACAGGAATGGGGTTTGCAGCAAACCGAATTGAGATGCTTCTCCAATTGGTCATAATGAATGCTCTTAAGAATTGCGATTCAGGGTAAGAATCTAGTTAAAACCACGTTCCCATTGAGGAAGAACCTCGCTCCCAACTGGGATGAAACATCTTGAGCATTTGAATCCCAAAGAAACAGAAGAAAAACTATGATTTAAGAAAAAATCTGTTGTAGCCATCAAATTATAGAAAAAATCACTCATATTTACATACTATTTATTTATATTTACTTAATTACCAATATTAAATATTTTAACATATACATTACAAACTAAGTAGAATAATATTTCTTACAATATAGTAACATATCTGTATATGTACAAATTATATTAATGCTTCCATAGGCGTTACTAACATTAGACTCTTCTATGTGCCCTGCCTCGGTCCCCTCTTCCACTCTGTGGAACTAAGTCTCATACCCAAAAATACAGATCAGAAGAGCTTTTTTGCAATTAGTTTTCATCAGCTTTTTAATTTATTTGGTTGCATAAATAGAGGACAAGGGGGAAAGGAAAGAGCTTCTTAATGCAGCCTTGATGCAATACAGAGTGATGGGTTGCCATGTTGGAGTGCAGTGGTCAACATGGGCGGATGTGCTGGTGATGCTTGTTGGGTTAGTTGATGTGGTGTTGGAACTGAAAGATGGTGAGAATTGAGTGGGTGGTGGGCATTGGAGTGTGGCTGCTGGAGTTTATGTTTTGGAGCTCTGTTTTTTTGTTTGTCTTCTTCTAGAGATGAAGAAGGTAGGGTCTTACAATGTCAGAGTTAGGTCTTTGGCTGGTTTGGATCCGTATTCTGGGGATATGAATTTATTTTATTTAATTGAGCATATAGCACTTTAGTAGAATGGCAAAAAATGATTTATGCAGCTAACTCGACCTGATTGGGCCACAACGCTTTGTTTGATTTCGTTTAGTTTATTATTGGGAAAGTGGTGTTGGAGATTCGCTCGCAAGAGGAATAGATGGTGGAGAATGGTTGTGGTTTCAAAGTATGGGAGTGATTGGGGGGATTGGACCTGTTAAGACATAGCTTTGTCTTATGATACAAGCCTTTTGGGGGGATCGGACCTCTTTAGTAGTATCTTGGCCTTATGTGGCGCAAGCCTTTTGGAAGGGCTACTCCCTTTGGTGGTGCCATATGAAAAGGCACTTTCCTTGAGTTATGGAGCCAGTTTATTTTGTTAGATTTTTACCATGCTTAGTGGAGAAACCAGGAGATCTTTAGTCTAAATCTCTGCCTACAGCTAAAAGGAACTTATCGTCATGTTGCAGGAACACAAACTGTTTGGATATCAGATGGTCGCCATACAGTGCACATGCTGGCAGTACCTGACATAGATGCTTCTTTTTGTGAAAGCGATGGAAAAGACATCGAGGAAAAGCTTATACAAATTTCAGGTTTTTTGCAGTTGTGAATTTCATTGGTTTAACCTCTTTATCTAATTTGTCTTACATTTGGAAAAAGCCAGCAACTGCTTTTACTTGGTTTGGACTTTAAAGTTTACTTTCAGATGGAGCGGTTGTGCATCATGAATAGGGTCCTACTACTTGAAAAACTTGTTTGTTTTGGCTAACATATTACTGGCTTGCAATCTCATGCAATCAATCTTGTGGTTGTTCTTATTGAATACTTAGCTGAATATAGCTTTTATCACTTTTTAGCTTAAAAGCCAAAAAGTCATTAAAAAAATAAAAAAGCCAACAACCTATATCAAAAAGTGAAAGATTCCTTTTTCTTTCTATTTTTTGTACATCTTTTCGTAAAAAATCAAAAAGTCATTCTAAACATACTAGTTTTTTTTACATCATATTTTAGCCAAAAAGTCAAAAAGTTAATAAAAGAGCCTGTTCCCAAACGAGGCCATGTGTTGTAAAAGATATCTTATCTGTCTGTCCATTGTTAAATTGATATTTGCTTGTGAAATTTTTTAGAAATTCCTCTGGCCTATAATTCAGTTTAATTTTGTAATCTCTCTCTCTCTCCCCCGCATAAGTCTCTTTGGTTTCAAAGACTATATATAAATATATAAATATTAGGGGTGACCATTGGTTTAATGGTTAAGACTTGGCCTAAAAACCTTGAGATTATGGGTTCAAGTCTTGGGACCACCACTTTACGCTTTATGTTAAAGGTTAGGTGTATACTCAATCTTTCCCCTCCCAAACACATATTAATGTGTACTTATTGGGCGTTGTTTTTTTATATATATATAAATATAAATAAATAAATTCAGTTTAATTTGGTACATAACCTGTGCAAGTGCTTTTTACATGTTTCTGGCTTTGCTTCAAGATGTTGCCTGCATTTGTTAAAGACACATTCAAATCAAGGTCATTCCAGAAACTTGTTCCAGCAAAGTGGCTTTTGCCAAGTGATATTTTCTAGTGAAAGGATCTTGTTCCTGCAGTTGTGATTGTAATTTTGGTTCCTTGGATAACACCGGAAATTTGTTTCCTTGGTTCTTGCCTTTAAAAGGTTGCTTTGAGCTAGAGCATTTGAAAACCAATTTTACATTTGTGAATCTTTCACTTATTTGGTAAACTTGTTTCTCCTGAAAATTTTCATCTTGTGATCTCATGTAACTTATCCTATGATCGTTATTATTGGATACTTGTACTTTCACTTAAATTTTGGGATTAAACTAGTTTTGGTTTGTTTTGCTAGTTCTTCAAGCAATATTTGCCAGTGAAACAATCCAAGATATTATTCCTTTGGCTTCAAATGCAATTTTGATTCTTGGACAAGGTATACTGTCAGTTCTTTTGTGAAATTGTTGTGTGATGTTTAAACAGAATATGTTTAGTACTAAATTGAGCAAATTTATATAAGCTGTTATTGTTCGTCATACTAGTTACGTCTAACCTTTTCACGTTTGCCAATAAAACATAATGAATTTTGATTTCTCTGACTGAGAAACTGCTCATAAATTTTTTATTTTTCTAATTTTATATCTTGCAAGTTGCGATACAAAGAAACATTATTTCTTTCTTTCCTTTACGGTTGGCATAGTAATAATAATTGCATGACCATTAGTGTAATGCATGCAATACATAACATAATATCACGATCTGAAAATCTCAACAAAAAAGAAAAAAGAAGATAATAATAGCATGATCTGATTTATTGGGCATCTCTCTCTCTCTCTCTCTCGTTGGCTATACCTACTCTGCAGGAAGCTTATTTGCATATACAATTTCCTGAAGGTGCTTGGTGGTTGCCTCTCTATTGGTGAGTCAGTTGTAATTTTGAGATTGTTGTTGAACAATGCCTTATGTTTCTGTATGACGAGATTCGCCTTGCAACTGCTGTAGCTGTTTGAACACAGAATTATGAGAATCTATTATTATTTAGTTTTGCAACTAGAAAATTCCAGTAGTGGCTGACTGGCAGTCTCGTTTCACTATGAATTTATACTTGATATATTGATTTGTTCCCTGCAGCATTTTACAAACTTAGCAGTTTATTTTGAAGGGCATATCCAGGACAATTTAGTTTGATTTGTGCCAGTTGAGGGGATTCGGGGATCTGAAGTGTATGTTACGGAAGTATGTTTCACATAGCAATTAAATTAACAGTTGTCAAATTTATCTTTGCCATTACCAATCTTATTGTGAAATAATCTAACTCATTTTACATTGAATTCAGTTGGTTGCGTTTGATTTTCTGATTCCCATGGTTCTGTTTGTCATCATTTCACATGTCATGAGCTGCGGTTGCCTCCGAGGACACCGAGCTCTTGCAGGTATGTGGGATCTTGCACTCGTAATATCTTTCTTCAGAGGTTAAATTATCACCCAATGAATAAATTAAGTCGTCTTACTTTCTGAAAAAAAATAGCATATAAAATAGGCACACACAATGAGATTTCCCCATTATGTTTGGAAAAGAAAAAGGGAATGGATTTGTACTGATTCACAGAAAAAACCCTGCAAGCGTTTTTATATTAAAGAACTTAAAATCCTCAATGTTGGGATGTAGTCCTTGGAGATAATTTCACTTGGTATTCCATAAGAAATGTTTTTTCTCTACAAAACAGCGTTTGGACATCTCATATCGTTCTTTGTTTTTCCCCCATGTTCCTTGACATTTTAAGACAAAGGTAGGGTCTATGATATATAATTAACAGTGATGGTCCACAGAAAGACATTTATTTCAAATCCCGTGATGAATAGAATGTAATTGTTTCATTTGAAAAGGATGTGTGAATGCCCAAAACTTACAAAAAATACTTTCTGCAGAGAAATAATATAAGGGACCAGTTGGGTGCCTGTTGGTGGAGTTCTGAATCAGGGGCAAGATTGGATTTTTCAACAATTCATGCCAGTCCCAGGGCCTGCTTCCATAAAGTAACAAGAAACTCATGGTGGATGGTAAACAGGTAAAACTTTTGGCTGTTGTTTAGTGGTTTATCTGTTATCTGCTCTCCTCCCATTTGCGGTGCTAGCAAAAAATTTCAGATTGTCAGGGGGAGTATTAAACCAGCGTGCACCCAAAGGATCACAAAGGTATGGGGCAGCTTTGGTCAGTGTGTTGTAAAATATTTTTTTGATTTGGATTACTCCGTGTAATATCTCTTGCTATCCATATGCCTGTAAGGAGTTAAATCTAATTCAACTGTGACCCATACAATTAAAACTGAATTTACATTGAAGCATTTAACTCAAACTGTTTTTATGACACCACCTGGTATGTTCTCTGAGTGGTACAGATTATAATTAATGTTATCAGCCACCAAATAGATGGAACAATGGCATACCACCGCTCAGATATTAGGAACTGATGCCAAGAAATAGTGAAGTTAGTTTATGAAGCAATAGCATGACCCTATTTTCTCTACTGTAGGACAACTTCAACTGTTTGACAAGTCCTCCAGTTATTGTGCTGGCCTTCCCCATGGTAACCCTTCCTAGACGGTGACCTATCTAAAACTTGGAACTACTTGTGCCCTTGACCCATCATAAGACTTCTCAAAGTTCTCAAGGGTCAAGATTTATTTGTATCATGTATAATCAGCATACAGATCTGCATGAGAGATCAAGCTAGTTGGGTTGGAGGTGAGCTATGATTTTATTTATTTATTTAAAATTAGGAAAGCTTCAAAAGTCCCTTTGTTGGCCACACAGATGTCTGTGCCAGACTGGCAAAGATGGAGCACTTGTGTTCACTTTGGATCCTCATATCCAAATTGCGGCCCCATATAGATGACAGTATAGGGGACCATCCTATTGAATTTGTTCTTAGTGATTCTTGGAATTGCCACGGTACCCCCAAGCACCATGAACATGTTTTGGAGCTGGCTCGGCTCTAGCCATGATATCGGTGCAATGGTTGTCAAATGCCGCAGCACCTGCACGTGGCTAGTTTAGTTGTATTTTATGATATTGAATGTTGAATTGTTTATAGATAATGCCTTCTTAATATGAATGCCCTTGATGTATATACTAAGTGGTATAGTGAGAGCTTTGTATATAGTGAGAAAATACATTTGATTTGTGGTGTAATTAGGTGTACAACTCATAGATAACGATGGTTTTATTAGGTGTATATGTACATTATAATTTGCTTAGTCTCTTGCAATACACAATGCAAAAGAGTATGTGTGGTAATACTTAATGGCAGGGGGAGAGAGGGTTGGGGGAGAGGGGTAGTTATGCTGTCGAATGGTCCAAATTATCCTAGCCACCATTAGGGTAGGTTTGGACCAACCTGAGTACAAACAAAATAGATATTATATGTTTTGAGTTATTAAATGGTCCCTATCTTCTTTCGTTGGTACATGTAACAATCATCAAAATGAGAAACTGGATGTGGATCTTCAATACCACATTCAGAGTCTACAGTTTCATTTCATAGATTACTTAGTGAACTGCTGCAGTTCCCCCCCTCAAAAAAACTTATAAAAATAAAAAGAATGTAAGCCTCTAAGCGGGTGTTTCTAAATACGGTCTCAAGTTTTGTAGAAAATACCCATTTCTTTTTAAGGTATGAATTTTTCTTCCTATGTTAGAAGATTTATTATATAAGTTGCAAGATTTAGATAGAAATATGAAAGGTATTTAGAAGCTCTCACGTTTTACCCAAAATAGCTTCACGCTTAAACTAGTTGCGGCATACCATGGTTGGTTAGTGACTTGTCTATTTGTTGAGTGTGTGTTGTTGGGAAGGAATGATAAATCTTCTTAAGGCGATACTACAATCAATGTATTATAACTTTTTGAATTACTTACCCCCCCAAAAAAAAACTTTTTGAATCATTTTGTGCAAGTATTGTCCAAAAAAAATTTAATGGGCGCTTCAAAAACTCAATCCAATCTGATATTACAAATCATTTATGTTATTTTAATTGTTAATTTGGATCCTATCCTAAAAATGAAACATTTCTCCTTACCCCACCTCCTTTCCATACATCGGTCACCATTTTTGCCCACCTTCTCCCTCTATCCCTCACCTAGATTTGCCTCCTCTGGCACCACCTCTCCCCTTCCCAACAACCCCTCTTCCTTCTCTCTCCCCAATGCCCCGATTGAAGCCACAAACCCTTTTCCCATTTGGGTGTTAAAGTATCATGTAATTACCCCCTCTCTTTCGGATTGTTCAATTTTTTTTTTCTTATATATATAATAAAAGGTTGAGAGTTTGTTATGAATGCACATCATGAGTAGTTAGGAGTAAAGAGAGTGTTGAATGGTGGGTGGTTTTGGAAAGATATAAATGGTATTGTTGTTTTTATAGAATAAATATGTAACGAATTCCCAGCGAGAAAAGTGTGAGGTTTATGTAATAGAATTGATATAGATGGGATAAAAATTGCAAAAAAAGGGTAGGGAAGGTCCAAAATGAACCGAGTTATTATCCATGGAATTTTTTTCGCATATTGAAGATAACATTCTTCTCCCGCTTCCCACCTCCAGGATCACTGTGGTCCTTTATTTTACATTTGAAATGCAATATAAAACGACAAGTTACGTAGAAGTGGATATGAAAACGAAACTCAAATAATAATAAATAAATTAAAAGAAAATTTACTTTAGGGATTAAATGAAGCAGAATGAGCCAGAAGATAAACTGGTTGAACCTTACCCTCCTTGTCACGTGAGACCTACTTTGCATATAGAGTAATGGTAGAGATTTACGCATTTGATTCATAAATTCATGTACAATTATGTGATAAGGGAATGGAATGGAGCCTTCAATCTTTGGGTGTGTAACAAATTAAAAGTTAATATTTATCTTAACGTGTCATGTCATTGTGAGTAGAATTATAATAATTTTTTTTTAGAGTTAAAACATTTTCGTTGCATATGTACATATACATACATAATGAGACTAAAAAAACTGACGGTCAAGATTGGGGGGGTTTCAGGTGGGGACCCAGCTCCAAGGGGGGAGAACCCCCCATTTTCTCATTGATGGTGATGGAGATGATGACAGCCACTTAATCCGCACATGCACACGCCAACATTCTTGCCCCCCACCACTGAAGTAAAATCCAATCCTTCACACACACACACACACACTCACTCTCTCTCTCTCTCTCTCTCTCTCTCTCTCTAATCCGGTTATATATATACGACCCACATTGAAAGCAACTCAGCGAGCATGCCTTGTTGCTCAACTTGGAGAAACCCCCATACTCTCTACGAGTTATGATTGAATGACTCGGTATTTACACCCATTTTGGGAGAGACTTTCAAAGCAATTATATCCTTTTGTTTTTCGTTTTTTGTTTTTTTAGGATCGAGCTGCTTTTTAGTTCTCTAATTTGAAGATCTAGGCCGAGCTCTAGGTGTTTGTCATGTCAGAATTTTATGTAAATCAATGATTTAAATTTTTTCTAGTTATTTAGAAATCTAGCAGTAGATCCAAACAAAAAATTTGATGAGTATTGGTGTGACACAAATTTGTTGCTTGGACTATTCTCTCTAGTAGAAGCCATTCTCTTTTTTATGAGCTATTGTACTGCCTGTTGGGGTTAAACTTCTCTCCGTTTGATTTGAGTTTTATATATATATATATATATATATATATTTTATTATTATTATTATTTAAAAACTTGGTTGTTGAAAAAATGAATAAGTAAATATTATTTTATATGATTTTCTCTTTTTCAGGGTGAAAATAATTTTAAAAAATATCTTCTTTTTTGTGTGTTTATTTTTCTCAAACTAATGTATAATTTTAAAAAATAAAATAAATTAAAGAAAATTTTAAAACTCAACCAAATAGTCTTAATTATGCAAATTTGTAGAGAATTTTAGCTAATTGGATTAACTCGTTTTGTTAGAATTCTTGCATTTCGTTAAGAAATTGAAAACTTTTGTTGTAGACAATGGTTAGTCTTAATTATGCAAATTTGTAGCCAAATTTAGCTAATTGAGTTAGCTGGTTAATTCTTACATCTCATTAGAAAATTAAGGATTTAAGTTTTATTATAGACCAGACTCTTGTGGTCTATCATGTATCAAAAAATAAAATTGTTGAGAAATTTTTTTTTTTTTTTTAGCACAATAAAGAGATGAATTTTGAGTAAATAGGACCCATTTCACATTAGAGGCCGAAAGAAATTCAAATTTGACATGGTTTCTAAGAGCATCTCTAGTGGTGCATCAATTTTTTTAAATTAAATTTGAGTAAAAGATTCCTTTGATATCAAGTGCTTCAATAGAGGATTTTGAAATTTCATTAGAATATTGGTCAATTGGTCGGATATCTAGCTGGTCGATCGGCCAGTGAAATTTTTTTCTTTTTTGTTTTTTTGCCTTGAAGTGATCGATCGGCCAGTGCAATTTTTTTACAAATTTTTGCCTTTAGATGGTCATTCAAGAGGACATTTGGGGGACATCTGGGGGGACTTGCAGCAAGGATAATGAACAATAATTTAATGAAAGGTATATTAGTCCTTAGTTTGATGACAAAAAGGTGAAATATTCAATTTAATGCTTATTTGATGTAACTGTTAGAGCAACAATATTTAATTTTCGTCAAATTCAATGAAAAATTTGAATAACTATCAGAGATGGTTTAAACAACATGGGCTTGACCCATTCAAATGCCAATCAAACTCAACATTCTCAAAATGCCAACTGCGTGCTGACTCAGGCCAAATTTTTTTTTAAAAAAAAAAAATCGACCTTTAAAATCTGAAGATATGCCCTTAATATGTGGTCAATTTTTTTTTTCTTTCTTCGCGGTAGTTAATTATAGTTGAGATGGTCCGAATTTTACAGGTGACTAAGAGTTCAAGATATTTTATTTAATAGTTTAAACTATAAAAAATAAGGACTATAAAAAAAAATTAAAACCAAATAAACAAAAAAAAAATAAAATTGCCCACGGGGACCTGAGTGCGAGGGGGCCCATTGTATCAAAAACATTCAAGCCATTGCATCGGACAAGTAAAACAAATCATTAGCACCAAAAATAAAATAAAATAAAACAAATTATGATGATCCATTATACTAAAAATTCAATATGTTTTCTTACAAAATGAAAAAAAAAAAATCTGGGAAAAAAATTTCTAGGTAAAAAACTCATTATTTTTATAAGAGTATTGCTATTTAGGTCAAAAAATTAGACCTACTTTCTAAACCCAATGATATATCAAAAAGATGATTAATTGGTATACTAATCATCTTTTTGACACATCACCGAATTTAGAAAGTAAGTTTAAAAAGTGGACTTGTATATCATTTTTCTTTTTATTATATTGGTGTAGAAACAAAGGTTACGTTTGGTAGAGCTTTCTAAATATAATTTGAGAGTAGGAGTTGTATTTTGAGTTTATGAGTTTTGGAATTATGATTTAAGTGTGGAAAATTTGTTTGGTGAGAGAGTTTTGAAAAGAGTTTTGAATTGAGTGAGGAATTTTTGATGTGACATATGATATTTGATACAAAAACTTACAACTCACAATCAAACATACAACTCAAAATTCTATTAAAGCACATGAAAATTTTTAAAAAATTCGAAAAATATTTTTTTCGAACATATAAAAAATAACATATGTCAATTGCAAAAAAAAAAAAAAAAAAAAACAACTTGCACTGTTCTGATCAACTGGCAGGACGACCGGTGGTAGAACGTCCGGTGGGACGACCGGTTAGGCCAAATTTCAAAAAAAAAAAAAATTAGAAAATCGCGCCTCACATAGAGTTTTCTGTAGAGTTTTTTTAAATGTTGTGGAACTATAGTTTGAACATCCTATCCAAATATCATATTAAAATGCGTAAGTAGAATCATAATTTGAAAATCGTTCCAAACACATCCAAATTTTTTTAATCAAAAGTATATTTTTCAATATTTATTTTTTCTCAACCTAATTTTAAATTTAAAAAAAATAAAATAAATCAGTACAAATTTTGAGAATTCAATTAAACAGATTTGAGGTCCTAATTTTGGGAAATTCAAGAAGAAGAAATACAATTACCTGACTACTAGGTCACTATATCAGTGGTTATTTTCATCGTTTTATTGTCATCTTTCATATAGAAAGTCAATCACAAGAAAATATAATTAACAGTGACAAGAAACCAATGACAGATAACATTTAAAACGAAAAATTGGGTCTACAAAGAACTCGATTATCAAGTTTAAATTTGAAACAAAACAACATAAATAGTTTTGAAATGTATAGTTCAAAATAAAAATATATTATTTTTATATTATTTTGATTTAATTTTAAATTTGCAGCAATACTAAATACTTATAATTTTATTCAAAAATATTATTGTGTGATCCAAATTTATTTTAGGAAAAATTGGTCTAGGATCCCTCTCTCATTTTTCGTAATGGAAGAGATCCACAAAATTATTTTTTGATGTCAAAGGTCCCTAAACATATATTAGAGAAATTTGACTCTTTGTCTCTCTAAACATATATCAGCTCAGCTCTGCACGGGACGCTAAGGAAGAGAGACTCGAAGAAGGCGCAGATCTGTACCAAATCCATCTGTTCATCGACTCGTTCCTCTTGGAATCTCCACTCCATCGCCGTCGCTCACCGCCTCGAACCCATTCCAGTCGGCCATACCAGCGTCTTCATCGCCTGCTGTTCATCGTGCTGAAGCTTTAGATGCTTGTAAATTTCTAATTGATGAGATCAAGTCTTCGGTTCCGATTTGGAAGGAGGTTTATGTTAATGGAGAGGTTTGGAAAGAGAATTCTGAGTTTTTTGAGAGAGGATTCAGATTGTTGAGGGTAATGTGTTTGTAGTGAGAGAAAGAAGGGTTGTTGTGCTGTGAAGGTGAAGGTGGAGAGTGGAGCTTCTGATTCTTGTGACAATTGAGGGATTGGAGAATGGAATTGGGTAAGGGAACTTTGTTGAAATTGTATTTTCAAAACCCTAGTTTATGAAACAACAAAACCACTTGATTAGAATGCTATGAAATGTGGCGTGTCACTGTAAGAGTGACTAATGTTAACTGAATTGATTGCTGAGCTGAATTTCTCTAGGTTGAAACTAGAGAAATTCTCTGATTTTTTAACTGAATTTTCTCTGGGTTGAAACTAGAGAAATTCTCTGGGCGGCGGTTCGGTTGGCAAATAATGGCGGATTTGCCTTGGCGGTTCGGGCGGATTGGCGGTTTATAAAAAATATAATTCAAATTACAAAACTTAAGTCAAAGAGTAAAAAAAAGACGAGAGATATCGTAATGTTAAGCATCTTGTGAAGCTTTCTTCTGATGTAGCAAGTGTAGCAATAACATGATAATATCAACGACTATACCATCAGTTCATTACAAGCATCTGTGGAAGCTACAATGATCAAATACAATACATAAAATTCCCCTCGAGCAGTAATGTAATACTATATTCTAAGGTATAAAACAACAAGCAAACTTAAGTAAAAAAGAATTTTTAGAATCCTATAAAACATGATTTAATAGCGGTGCGGGTCGGTGCGGTTTGGAAGAAAAATAGAAATCGGCGGATTGATAAAAGTGTCACTAGAATTTGCCATTTTTCTTATCAAAAACCGGCGGTTCAATTGACAAATAATAACGAATTTGCCTTGGCGGTGCGGTTCGGTGCGGTTTTGGCGGTTTCGGCGGTATTATGCACACCCCTAACTGTAAGAGTGACTAATGTTAACTGAATTGATTGCTGAGCTGAATTTCTCTAGGTTGAAACTAGAGAAATTCTCTGATTTTTTAACTGAATTTTCTCTGGGTTGAAACTAGAGAAATTCTCTGGGTTGAAGTGAGTCCAGAGAAATTCTCTGGATTTCTCTAGTGTAAACTCAGTTTGTTTAATTTTCTCTGCCTTTAATTGAGTAAAATTGGATTAGACATCCACAATATTATGTAGAATCATAGCATTCTCGTTCTAATTCATTGAATTGAATTTCACTGATTCAATTGAAAATTCAAGAATTTCACTGAATTGAATTTAGTGAATCAGTGGACTCCATCTTAATCAGTCCAATTTTACCAAAGAATAACACTTAATTGAATTTTCTCTGGTTTGGACCAAAGAATTTCTCTGGATTAAATAGAATTTTCTCTGGATTTAGACGAAAGAATTTCACTGAATTGAATTTTCTCTGGATTGATGTTGAGGGATCTTAGACATTATAAAAATATTGAGTGTCCTTTATGCTATAAATTCATAATAGCAAGGACTTTAAAAAAAAAAACTCCTTTATTTTATGCATAGAAATCATAATACACAAATTTAAATAACAGTCACATGTTCTAATTTTGTGTAAATTTCTTTTACCATTTTTGTAAGATAAGTAGCTTTTATCTTAAATTTTAGTTGTTCCATTATTTCGTTATGGTAAAAATCATAATATGATCATTACAGAAAAAGAATATCAATCCATAAAAAAACTAAAACCTAAAAAGCAAGCATAAAAAAACAGTCGCAAAACCAGTTGCTAAACTACACTCAACCCTGAAAAGAAATTGACAATAATTTTGAAGATTTTCTGCAAATACGTATATTTTGACCTTTATTAACTGAATTTTTGACTTGTAAAAAACTTTACACCCTTAAAAAAAAGTACGAGTTAAAAACAAAGAAGAGGGAGAAGAAAGAAAGAAGAGTGAGGAGAAGAAGAAGAAGAAGAAGTTTGACAACTTGGAAGAGAGTGTAAAAAGCACATTAATGGTGACAACCTGTACCACCATGGAACATCGACGAGACGAGCCTCCTGATGATGAGTTCAACTTAAAAGAATGGGCTCTCAAGTCTAAAATGGTCAGCCGTGTTAACACCAATTCAAGAAGGTTCTCTGCTTCCAACATTATTAGAAGCAGTTTCAGAGAAGACACTAGGTCTTTCAGATCCAATATCACCATTTCTAGCACTGCTTCTTCTCCTGGCTACACCCTAGGAGGTACTCTCTCTCTCTCTCTCTCTCTCTCGTATATATATATATATATATAAATGGGTGGCCATAGTCTGCTTGGTGAGATGTAAGAGTTCTGGTCAACTGAGATAGCCCGATTCTATTAGACTTGAACTTGAGTGAAAAGCCAAGTTTTCATGCTAGTTCACTTAAAATCAAAGAGTTTGAACTTTTGAACTAAAAGTTTGTGTTCATAGTCTGCAGAACTTACGTTGGTGAATTGCTTAGCCCTATAACCTAATAGTAACTCTCATCTTCTTTTTCAGATGCAATTGACCCTTCAACATACTCATTCACTACAGCTCTCAAAGGTATAAAATGCATTTTTTCTTAGTCAATTGATGATCATATATATATAGCTTGATCTAAATTGTGGGCAGTTAAAATATGCAGCATTGCAGGCAAGATCTGCCTATAGTTGGGAGTGCTTATCACCAGATGGGCATGGATTTGCTCTAAACTCCAAGTGGAATGAAGCTGAGAAATACATATGCAACCCTTTATCTGGAGAAGTTCCAATGGAGTGTTTGTCTGCTAAAACACTGAGCGGCCGATCCTTTCGCAGCCTAGCAGGCAGAGTCACCATGTCTGCTCCTCTTATTTATCCTTCTCACTCAAGGGCAATCCATACAAAATCTTCTCTTGGGTCGCATGAAAATGAAGTGACTCACTTCCCAATTCCAGGTCCCAAATATAAGTTCATCTTTTCTTTTGAGTGATTTTACTTTTAGTTCGTGTACTAAGTCGTTCTTTTTTTCTATCTTTTTTAGAGAAAAAAGTGAGTGGAATGGGTACTACTACTAGAGATGTGGGGACTCAAAGCACACCGCCTGACAGCTCTAGTAGTCCAAGCCCAGCTCGGACTCCTCCAATCGAAGAAAGATCAATAAAGCGAGGTCAAGCAGAGGTTGAAGATTCACCTCCCTCCGATATGGCAAAATTGGAATTTGAGGAAAAGGTATGTTCTTGAAAATTTTCTAGTGTAATTTGAAAACAACAATAAGAATGATTATATTTTATTTATCATTTGATATATCATCTTAGTATTAGTATTTGAATATGGCTAGAAAGATAATTTAAATGAATACAAAAGTTAGAGATTCTAATTCTAAATACTTTCCCGCCTTGTAAACTTCAACCCAAAAATTATTTATTTGAAACTTGTTTGCTATAGTATATGGCCAATTTTTGAATACCTCTATTTTCTAAAAATGTGGCCTAAATTTCACGATTAAATGATTTTTCTAGAATAAATAATTTTCTGTTTCTATACTTTCCATTAAAATTTACCATTCTTCATCAATTTTCTCAAGAGAAAAGTTCAACTTTTTTTTTCCTGACATGTTACTTTATTAGTTTTGTCTTGCTTATTTTGAATTTCAAAACTTTGGCTTCTTGTGGATAGTCTTTATCCTTCTCATAAATATCCACTGATGGATAAATACTGCACTTTCATGCATTGGAAATGAATTGTGTCTATAAAATGGACAAATTAAATAATATAAACGTGTAGCTTACTGTGAATTAATAACCTAATCCATACTTCCAGGTTAATGCAACTGAAACTAAAAACTCACCTTATTCCTTTCATTTTATATGGGTTTTTTTGGTTGTATTTTCGTTTGATGTTTTTTATCTTTTAAAAGAATGCAAAAAAAAAAAAAAAAAAAAAAAAAAAAAAAAAAAAAAAAAAAAAACTTGTTTAAATAGCTGTTTTTAAAAAAAATGAAAACAAACTACACTTTAGGAATTATTCAAAAACTGTTTTCGTCCAAAAAATTTTATCACCAAACTAATTTTTGATTTATTTATTTTCAAAAAATAGATTCAACTAAGCTTAACTTTACATAATCAAACTTTGAGATGCATATTTTCTCAGGAAAAATTATATCGTGATCTACTCCAGGGTACTATATAACTTTGTTTATGTCCAATCATAATTCATCATATTTTTTCTTATTTTATAATCCCTCAATACATAATTATAAATTTCATATTTTTTATCAATCACAAACCACTTAAAATATCAGTTGCCCCTAATAACTTCTTTACGAGAGTCTGCTGGATTATAAGGCGTGATTCTCAAGAACAAGCAATGAATAGTATTTTTTTATTTTTTATGATTGCAGAGCCAAGTAATTATATGTACCATATTCTCAGGAGTGTGCTAGAATCATAATTGGTACCTCTGCATTCAGACTATGATGATAATTTTCCTTCCAATTACTACAATAGGTTGGTTTGAGATTTTTTTGATTAAAATATTTATAAAAAAATAAAATAAGTTTTCTAGTCTAATAAGATAAAATATCACATCTAACTTATAATCATTACATTTTTTCTCTTACAAAAGTTAAAAAAATCAAAAAGTTCATCCCAAATGAGACTGACTTTTTTGCTCCAGAATAAAATAACTAAAAAGTCAACAAGTCAACTCACTTTCCAAACGAATTCAATATCTACCTTATTCTCTCATTGGTCTCTCTTCTTACTCTCTTATTTATAATAGTAGAAATGTATCTTAAGAAAATCTAACAGTTTAAATTTGACTATTTAAAAAATTTTATTAATTAATTAAAACAATTTTTTTTTTAATAATCAGATCTTGACCTGTGAATCATCTCAAGTTGCATCTACCTTTACAAGTAGAGACAACAAGCAAGACCAATAATGAAAGAATTTAAACTCAATATGCCCTCCTCCCCCATGAAATTTAGGTTGTTTTTCCTCAATTGCCTTTTGCTTTTTGTAGCCGTATGGTCTCTCTTGTACCTCCCACCTCCGTTTCGCCCCCAAACAAAAAAAACGAGGAAAAAAATATCAACAATTTTTGAAAAATAGCTTATATCGCTAGCACAGTATATCTAATACCAAAAATTGACAAGCTTTTTTCCCTCCCATTCTCATCATTAAATCAACAGTAATCCTATTTATTCAAAAACATTAATGTATCATTCAAATTTAATCTAAATAAATTACAACTTTAAATCTCAACCATCCAATTTCATTTTGTATTATTTTTTATTGATAAAAATTATGAGCAGTTCTTATCCTTAAATAATCAATGTGCATGCATGCGTGGACAGCTTTTTGTAGTCTTTTCCCTCTCTTTCTCTTGGCTTTCATTCAGGGGTCTGACGACGGCTTCTCTGCAAACATTAAAATTATCTGTTCTCGTTTTTATTTTGTTCCATTGTTTTATTATTATTAATTTTTTTTTTTTTAAGTTTGGGTAATGTTTGTTATAGTTTATTGCAACTTTTACTTTTCTAATTAACAGTTTTAAGTTTGTAAAAAACTATAATAAATAGGACTATTGTATCCCTTTGTTATTGATCCATTTGTTATAATTTTTTTGTAAATTAAAAGGTGGTAATAAAAAAGTTCAATCTATTTTTCATAATTATTTTTTTCAACTTTTTTAAACTACTTTTCTCCCACAAATTATAAATATAAGTTGTACCAAGTATATAACTACACTAAATAAATTGACACAAATTCTTAAATTAAAAGTTATGAACACCTTTAATAAATTAATGCTCTATTTAGTTCATTAGAGCTTCTCCAATTTTATTTTTTATTTTTTTATCAAATTTAAATTTGATAAAAAAAAGTTCAATTTTGGTACTTCAATCATAACATCAACTAATATCAAATTGAGAATGTCTTAAACTTTTCATCAAATTGAAGATACCTTCAACATTTCATCAAATTACTGTAGACAATTGTAGGAGACCATACAACGGACGACTGGCCGATTGTCCTCCCGGAAAACCGGAAGGACAACGGAGCTTGCAAATTTTCCTCCTTTTAGATGTCATCATTTTACACAAGTTGGACGTCCATCTAGTCAATCGGTTGTTTGATAAAAATTAAAAAATTAACATCAGAATGCATGGTATTAGATGAAAGTTTTACTCAAATTTGATGAAAAATTTGATTAAACATTAGAGATGCTCTTAGAATGAGTTTGCCATCTGGGTTAAAAGCTAATTTTTTGACTTTTTAACTTTTTTATGTCATGTGACCTCCCTATTTTTTTGCACTTTTTTTTAAAAAAGTTAAAAAAACCTAAAAAATTGACATTTATCTTACTTTTCAAAATGAAATGAAATATTCATTCTTTAAACTTATATATAGAATTATCATTACTCTACAATGATGATTTCATTTATAATATATTTTTCATTATTTTTTTAATCAATCAAATATAAAAATAAATATTTTAATAAAATAACACCCCAATCAGTTTACGACACCATAGTCAGCATTATATTTGTAATAATTCAAAACATTGCTACCATCTGAACTTGCAAGGACTGGCTTTATTTTCCATATAATTTAGATTCTTTGCACAATGTATTGCTAACAAAAAAAATTTTAGAAATTTTTATCATTATTCTTTGATGCAGTAAATATGTATATTGTACGGTTGGATCTGAAAAACTTTGGAAAATGACGTTGCATGACACTGATGATTTCAAACTTAGCCAAAGATAGATAGATAATTCAAACTAACATGCAATCGTATCTGACATTGGTGTGGTGGTGCATATATATATATATATATATATATGTACTATGTACCCATGACCATGAGCAATATTACAGGTTGAAGTGAAAGAAACAGAGGAGAAAGAAACAAAAAGAAAGGAGGAAGAGGAAGATGATCAGAAAAAGAAAGCAAAGCAAAAGCAAAAGTGGAAGTGCAGCAGCAGGCAAAGTGCAGGGTGCTTCTTGTCATGGAGGAGCTTGTGGATGAGAAAGAGGCAGAAAGAGAAGCACAAACCAATAAATAGGAATATTTTTATTACCCCACATTAATGGGTGTCAAATATTTATATAAAAATTTTAAGTGTACAGAAAACATAATCCTTTAATACGAGATGAGACGAGTTATGTCTGATTTTGTAATCGGATTCTGTGCACATAAAAAAAATGAAATATATATTAGTTTGTTAGGAATGGTTAAAAAAAAAGTAGTGGAAGTTGGTTCTAAAGTAATTTTATTTTTGATTTATAATCGCTTTATCTCTTGAGAGATATTGATTGAGGAGTGGATGTCAAGATGAAGAAAATAGAGAGGGGAGAGAGGGGGGAGGAAGGGATGGATAGAGATAGTGTGGGGGTGGGTTTCATGTTGGTTGTTTTTGGTATGTGTACTAACTGGTGATGCTATATATATTTTGTTCTTATTTCGGTGACAGCTCTGCCTTCACGTGCTTGCACCCTTGTTAGTTACTTTCAACTGCGACAACTCTGCCCCTCTCTCTCTCTCCCTCTCTCTCTCTCTCTCTCATACAGACACACATGCACAAACATAATATTGCATGTTCCCAGTTTACCAAAAAAAAGAAACACAATATTGTAAACTAATCGATTCGAGGTAAAATTTAAAATGTTTGAATTTAGAGCATCTCCAACGGTAGTAGGCATTTTACCTATCTAAATATTTTTTATAAAGGATATATTTTATTTTGCCTATCAACTGTTTTATGTTTTTACTCCAACCATGCTCTTTATTTTAGCTATTTATCCAAACACTATTAATTTTATAGAATGACACGTCAACAACAAAGATGGAGGGAAATGATCCTAATGATTGAATATATTTTGCCTAGTGTTGAAGGCTAGCTACATGTAGCTAGTGAATATGAATTGAGCCAAAATGCCTAATCATATGCCTAGTGCATTGGAATTGAAAAAAGTGAATCACACTAGGCATTTTAACTAACAAGTATTATATATGCCTAGTGCATTGGAGATGCTCTTAGATTGTTAAAAATTAATCAATTTTAAGTTTAAGTTGAGCAAATGTCAAGTTTAGAGAAATTGAATTCAAGCTTAACTAGTTAATTATTTAAAAAATGTAAGCTTAGTTCGACTCGACTAGATTGAATTACTTGACTTCTAACTTAAAAAAATATGGATCCTAAATTAAGATGCAACTTTAGGGAGGGAAAAAAAAAAAAAGGAGGAGGAGGAGAAGATTATGCTCTCTTATCTTGAAATAATAATACGCATATTAATAAACATATTTTTGTGTTGTTTAGAAAGTGTTAGATTAATATACTTTTTAATTTTTTACGAAAAAATATGAAATATGGGTTGAGTTTGAAATGATGTGCTAGAGAGGTGATGAAACTCAAATAAGATGATTGTGACCCCAATAGGATAATGTGTTGCTATTTTAACGCATGCCAAACAAGCACTAAGTTTACTTTTACTTGAACCTAGCTTGATGATTAATTGAGATTAAAATAAATGTTGATCAAGTTCATTTATTTAACAAATGAGTTACTCAAATGAGTTTTAAATTGAGCTTCAACTATTTATTAACAATACAAAATTCTTTCAATTAATGTGTGCAGAGAGCCGAGAAAAAATCTATACACAATCAATTTATTTCCAACCAACACTAGAAAAATCTCGATCACAATGAAAAAAAAAAATGATTTTCATGGTGTGTAATGTGTTGTATTTGATTGGAGTCATTTTGGTATATCAAACTTGTATTAAAAAAATATTCATTTATAATATAATTATTTTAAAATTGTCTCCCTTATCTACAATTTTCTCAAATCGAATTGTAATCATCTCCATTCAAAAGTTGTAATAGAGGATCTCCATTGTATTATTCAAGAATTTATAATGATTCTTTCTAAATTTAAAATATTAATAAATTATTATGATTATTTTACAACACTTAAATAATGTAATGAACATCTTCTATTATAACTATAAAATAGAGAGGATTTTAATCCTTCAAAATCAAATGGGGAGAGTTGTACAATTTGTATTGTTTGATGATATGAACAAATCATATTTCCTGTCTCCCTAAAAAAATGTCACGGTTATCCCCACTGAATTTAAAAAATAAAGAAATACAGCCTCAGATTCGTACTTGTAAAGTTGTAGTTGGGGCATTCGTACAACTCCAGGAAGAAAATAAACTTAGGAATTACAACAGTCAAAAATTATTTACAAATAAATAAAAAATAGGGTCTGGCTTTGGTCCAGTCCATCATCGGATTGGACCGTACTGTTGGGCCCGTGGGGCCCATCACGATTCCCGTTTTGAAAATTTGAACCGTTCAATGTGTAGAACTCGTCGAGTACTACATATTTGTGAAAATCACGTTGATCGGATATCGATAGCTATGTGATCAAAACAGTTTTTTATCAACCGTTAATTTATTCACCGTATATTTTTTTTATACAAGACGGATTTGATCACATAGCTATCGATATCCGATCAACGTGATTTTTTACAGGCATATAATACTCGACGAGTTTTACACATTGAACGATTCAGATTTTCACAATGGGACCTGTGGTGGGCCCCACGGGCCCAACAATACGGTCCAATCTGATGGTGGATTGGACCAAAGCCAGACCCTAAAAAATATTATAAACTTTACCTAATAATTAAACATTTCTGAGAATTTTTTTGAGAAAATCTGTTTGGTTTGATTACTCCCAGAAATGTGTTTTCAGAGAAGATTTCAGAAATTTGTTTCTGAGATACAAACCAAACAAGGCCTTTATCTCTATGGTTAGTATATAAACAATCTCCTTGTGTTTTTAACTAAAAACAAATAAATTTAAGGGGATTTTTTTTTAAGATCTCTGGTATTAAAATTTTATAACATAAAAGATATTTAATATTTTTATAATATCTAAAATTTCTTAACATCAATCCAGAGAAAATTCGATCCAGAGAAATTTGGAATTTCTCTGGACTTCCCACTCTACAGAGAAATTTTGGACTTTCCAGAGAAATTTCTAACTTAAGCTTTCATCATCTTCTTTGTTCAGAGAAATTTTGAGAAGTCTAAAGAAATTTCTCTCTAAAGAAATTTTGGACTTCTCAGAGAAATTCCTAAAGCCTTTATCATTTTCTTTGTCCAAAGAAATTCCGGACTTCCCAGAGAAATTTTTAAAACCTTCATCATCTTCTTTGTCCAAAGAAATTCTGAAAGAAATTCTGGACTTATCAGAGAAATTCCTAAAGCATTCATCATTATCTTCTTTGTTCATCATCTTCTCCTCTAAACAAATTCTGGGAATCTAGAGTAATTCCAAAACAAAATCACTCCCCAAAATATGCCTTAGAATAAACAATTTCCAAAAGAGTAAAGAAGAATAATTTGACAAGAAACAAATTTATGGGTTATTTGAGATGTTCTAAATAAGTATACTTTTTGACTTTTTTGATTAAAAAGTAAAGAAAAAAAAGATGGTGGTTTGGGATAACTACGAAAAAAATGTGTATTAAAATATTGTATAAATTGCAAAATTACGAAATTACCCTCGTTGACACAAGTAGCAATACTGCGCTACACAGACACTAAGGACTTTTCAATTTTTTATTTTATTTTTTTTATTGGAATGTGTGGCTACAAGTGTGCCATGTTTTCTTTTTGACTTGGGAAGTTGTGGCTGCACCGTTTTGTGCAGCACTATTTTTCTTTTTCTTTTTCTGTTTTGTTTTTTTTTTTTTCAATTGACAAATTTTCCATCAAAAAAGAGGTAAATAGTATGAACTTTTTTGCTTTTTGAATGACTTTTTGAATTTTTTAGGTGATGCCAAACCAGCCCTTAGCAAAAGTTCAAACATAAATAAACATAATTTAGATTCAATACGACCAAATATGGGAGGAAAATTTCACGGAAACAAAACAGAGCAAGAACCAATTCCCATTCAGTCGCATAAATTACAGTAAATATAAGCTAAACACAGGTTGCAGAAAAACACGCAATTCACAGACGAAGAGATTGAAAACCAAGTTAAATTATGAGAAAGACACCTCTACACTTAGCTCAACTTGCATCTTTGTTTCTTCCTTTCCACTATCAACCTTTGGTGAAGCTGCAATAACTCTTTGACTCTGATTCTTCCTTGCTTTCCCATTAACCTTTGCACTATCAACACCTACAGAATTAGCTCCATCAAACCGTATCTTTGTCGATAATTCATACGCTTTTTGCTTATGAGCTTTCGAAAAAGTCCGATCCTCACCCATTTTACTCTTGCTAGCATTGTTCTCATACTTCTTCTTCAACCTCCTCACTTTTCCAGACAATTGGGTCTTGCTAATATCAATGTGCAGCGATTTCTTGATGAAATCATAAAAAACATTCATATTAGCGAGTGGATCAGACCCTTTTTTCGTAGTATATTAAAGCCTCGTTTGGCAAGTAACTGTTTTAGCCTAAAAGTCAAAAAATTACTAAAAAAATCAAAAAGCCTATAAACTATACCAAAAAGTCAAAGATTCCTTTTTCTCTCTACTTTTTGCACAACTTTTCATAAAAAATAAAAAATTCACCCCAAACATACTAGTTTTTTTTATCTCATATTTTAACAAAAAAGTCAAAAAATTACTAAAATAACCTGTTTCCAAACAAGGCCTAAATCATACCTTTCAAAATCACAATCTCAACGAGCGGTCGACCGTTGTTTGTTATTTTTATAAAGAGTGAACGAGAAAATTGGTGAGAGCTAGGGTTTAAACAGTATTAAAGTATAGAGAGAGAGAGAGAGAGAAAAAAAAAATAAAGTTTGATTTGAGATATATCGGTGTAGGATTGAGGGACTTTAAACATCATAAAATAATATTGTGGATCTCTTTCATTACTAAAAATGAAAGAGGGACCTTAGACTAATTTTCATTAAATCTAATACCATTGACAAATTTGGATAATTTTTAAATGTGTAAGTACATACCATATGTACTTGTGTAAATTTTCACAAATATATATAAGTTATCTAATAAAATTACATAAATCTTCACAAACATATGCAAATTAACCTATAAAAATTTGAAAATTCACAACTTTCATATATTTGTAAGAACTTATATAATTTTATGAGATAATTTATATATATTTATGAAACTTACACAAGTATATATAATATGCACCTTACCCACTCAAATACTTCATAACAATTTTTGCAAAAAAGTCTTTTCTTTTTTTTCAATTTTTTTTTTTTGAATCCAAAAAAAATAAATAAAATAAAATAAAATAAATAAATAAAACTAGATCATCTATCTCACTCCCTCATTTAAAGAAAAGGGAGTTATGGAAAGATACACTACTGTCCAATCAACTGATATCTACTAAAATTACGTAAATTTTCATAAATATACATAAATTAACTTATAAAAATTTTAAAAATCACAACTATCATATATTTGTAAGAACTTACATTATTTTATAAGATAATTTTGTATATTTATGAAAACTTACGTAAGAATGCATAGTATGTACTTTATACACTCAAATACTTCATAACAATTTTTGCAATTTTCTCAAATTTTCTTCTTATTTATTGTCATCATTTCTCTCACAAACTCAGTAAAACTAGACCATCTATCTCACCTGCACATAGAGATGATTTGAAATGATTTAAATAAGTATATTTTTTAATTTTTTATAAAATATGAGTTGAATATGAATTGAATTTGAAGTGATGTGTTAAAAAGGTGATGTGATTTAAATAAGATAACAACTTTTTAATTTTTTTAAATTATAACAAGGCCAAAGAGAAAAAGGAGTTACGGAAAGATACACTACTGTCCAATCAAATGTTACAACTACTAGTTTTCACTTTAGTTCAAATCACATAAAATTGTGTGTTTATTTCTAACCAAATAGAGACGTGCTTTCAGACCAAAAAAACATAATGAAGAGGTGTTTTTGTTTTTTCTACACCCGTAAAAGGGAATAAGAGAAAGAAGGCTACAATTACAACAACAAAGACTCAAACTTGAAAGGAACATCTCATCCAACAAGCCAAACCCTAAAATTTATACAACAAAAAAATGGGGCCAAAGATTTATTCAGTTTTGACAAATGTACAAGAATTGGAGATCAAAAACTGCCATATCATTTTCTAAGCTTACAAGTTACAACTTATAGCACAAATATGTAAACATGCCTGTTACACAGGAAGCTAGCCTTATTTAACTGCTTCTCAATAATAGAAGTAGCACAGTAAAAATACATATGGAGAATCACTTTCCCCAGATTGTTACACAATGGCAGAATAGTCTAATTGAATATTCTAAAGTCTAAAACTGAGTTAAGAATGAGCAAAATCATACAACACTGTAAACTTACAAAAAGTTGCAAGTAACTTCACACAATCAATCATCAAACCAACGGAACCCAGCTTTTGAACCCTTCTAGGATATGTTGCAGCCAAAAGTCACCTGATTATTATTACATGGCTGTCTGCTGTACACCAAAGACATAGTGTTAGTTTTAGCCTGGACAGGCCCAAATCCATCTCAATCCGATCAACAGCCAACTCTCACAGTTTGAGCCCTGTTTGGCGCAGCTTATAACAACTGCTATAACTTATGTTTTTCTTTTTTTAATTTTGGGAATTTGTCAGTGTTTGATACTTTTGCTTATAGCTTATGAGGCAAAAATTACTTGAATAAGTTGGGAAAAAACTAATTATTGGAAAGCTGAGGGAATGATATTTTTAGTTTCTGATTTCTGATTATCAACTTTCAACTTGTAAAATGCTGCACTAAACAGGGCCTTATTATCAAAGAAAAGGCTTCCATAAATTGGACGTTAAAGTGGATTAGTTGGTACCACTTTCACTACAAAATAAATATCTGAAATGTAACAGAATTAGTAGCAAGAGATCATCTAGTGTTACCTTGATTGCACTGACTGGAGGTGATAGATTAGTTATTGAATCAGGTCTGCTTCGATACTTCTAGATGAAAGTCCATCAGTAATCTTTTGAGAGCTTAGCCTTCTCTTCCTAAGTAACAACCAAAAATCATAAATGAAACAAAATTACAATGTCTGACAACACCTTCCGTGAATGAATGCATTGAGTCTTGCAAAAATATTATTAATGCAGATAAATCAATGTAAATAATTTTTTTCATAGCTAAGTGCGTGACATTATTGATGCTAGATTAAAAGCTTGCTTGTGGTATACAGTAAGATCCTTGTTCTAGAGCATGGGATGAGAAAAATGAGACATCACAAATGGCTTGTTTTACATTTCAGTTAAAAGTTAATAACTTCATATGACTTTCTCTTTCTGTTGTCACTTCCCTGGCCAATCAACATGTCAGCAGACCAAGCAGAGAAAGAGACATGTTCTTCCCATATTTCCAGTCCAAACTAAGCCTTGTGTCCCAATCAAATGAGGTCTACTACATGAATGCTTTTTGCATTCCGTTTTTGTCAAAGGTTATATGTTCAATTAAATTAAATAAATTCAATTTTTTTACTACCACATCTAATGTCAGTTAGTCTTCCCCTTATAATATTTCTATTTATGATGATCATATATCACTCACTCTTCATTACCATTGACTGATAAAAACATAAAGAAACCTTACTAGAAAGAAAAAAGTTCATAGTTTCTCAAAAAAAGCATATATGAGTCTGTTTTCCTAATGTCTTCATTGTCTTTAAAAGAGTCCCTCAATGCTTCCAACACTTCGATCCTTTTTTTTCTTTTGAGACATTTCTCTAAAATTTTGAATCATATTTTATACCAACTTTGGAAACAAGTTTGCAAATAAATTAAATAAATAAATAAGAAAAGCATTCCATGAACTGTATGAGTCCCTAAGACAAGGATGCAAGAAATGCAAACCATTCTGCTTGATGTGGATTAAGTGCACCAAGGGGCTACAGTTAAAACAAATTATTGTATTTACCTTACAGAATAAATGTATTTTTCTATCTCTTTTTCCTGTTCCGAATTGTAGGAGATCCATTTTTCACCTGACCCAACTGCATCCCAGGTTCCCACATCTGTAAATTGATGAAAAAGGATTGGAATCCAAAATTCATAAACAAATCATTAAATCATTTAAACATGCAGTTAAAAACATAACCTTGAAGAAGAACATTAGATTCGTCAGAATATCCTTTTAATCTCCAGTATGTGCGCCCGTTAATGTCCGAAAGGATAGGCTCTGTTCTAACAACATCAGATTTTTGTTTCTCTACAGAAGACAAAAGAAGGTCAGATCATATTTCGAAACAAACTTAACTACAAGGAAGAGGCCCAAAAAGATGCAAAACTTAAATGGTTGGTAAAAAAACAAAGATGACTTGGTAGACAATTTGAACTAGACAAATTAAACCAATACTATATTTCCTCATATAGGAGGATCTTGCATGCACGTTTCACAAGTTGGTAAATATATGTGCATTAATTTCTGTCTCTTTGGAGACGGACAAGCAATGAGAACCAGTCATTCAGCAAGACCAAACCAGTCTAAAGACTCTAAACTGCCACAATCAAATGAAACGCAGTTATTTAATACAAAGAAAACATTACACAAACTAGCAAAACTAACCTTCTTTTCTTTTTCTTTTTCTTTTTTACTGAGATAACATGCATTAATGAAACTTTGGTATTTGAAATGAAGCCCACTAGACTTCGTAATTGGGACATCTCAAGTGAGTGAGAAAAATAGTAAGATTTGTCCGTTTGTACCGGTTTGTAAAAGTGTTCAATCACCAGGTGACCAAGAGCACCTTATGATAGTAAATATGGAGATTACAACAAATTATAGCAATATGTGTAATTGCTGAAAAAGAAAAGAAAGATTAGGTGACCAAACAAAATTCTTATTCTACGATATATGGAGACCAATACAAGGAAAATGATGTGCCGACTCTCCAAAATCTGGTTAAGCAGACAAACCATAAGGCCAAATACAACATAATAATTGTTTCAACAATTTTTTTATTGCCAAAACGTATTTTGTTATTGAGATTCTAAAAGTATTTGCATGTGGACAGCATAGGTATATAAAAATCAGAAATCATTTAAAACATCAGAAATCACAATAGGTTGTATATATATTTTTTTCATATCAAACTTTTCTTGACCCCTTTCACAGGTGTCATGCATTCAATAAGAAAGTCAAAAGAATCCCAACTCCAATCCAACCCAAGAATTGCACCCATTTTGGCATTGATCCACTCACTTACCTGGTTAACCCCTAATCCATTCTAGGTTCATAAAGAATGAATACCAAATTAACCCGAAAGTGATATTTTGCCAAATTGCATTCTTGGTTCGTTTGCAGCCCTACGCAAAGCTGTTTAACAAGCTCCGTTAAAATTACAATAAGCATGAGGTCAGACCAACATTCACAAACTCAAATAAGCAAGCTAAACTCAGGAAGATCCACCTCCATCCAAATTCTACGAAGGCAAACTTTAACAGCCCAGTTCCCGGTTCAACTCAACTTATTTGCAACCCTACATTTCAAATTTTGTATGGAACACACAAAACATACCCTTAGGTAACATGCCTTTTGATTCCACCATCTCGGCATGAGCTTGAGCTGCTTCAGTTTTAATTTGTGAAACAATAGCTTCATGCTCAGAAATTGAAAGAGGAACACCATTTTTTGCAATGATAGCTTCGGCCACCTTATCCTGCATCTTCTGCTTCAATTGTTTCTCCTGTACATGGTATTAAATTAAAATAAAAGGAGTTTAAAGACATTATTCTATGCTCCCAAAGTCAGAAGTCTATAGTTTTTTCTACCTTATGCTTTGCAGCAACAACTCTTTCTTTTGCTTCCTTCACCTTTTCAGCAAACTTTGAATTCTGGTCTTCTATCCAACTCCTTATTTTTCTGCAAGGAAAAATTATGTATTTTCAATGCAAGGGGGAAAAAAGTGAAGACTTGAACAAAGAAAAAGTGAAAAATATTATAACTTACGCAGTGCAAAGAAATTCATCACAAAGAAAATTTAATAGTCTAAGCTTTTCTGAGGAGTCTAAACTATCATAATCATCAGCTTCCCCACCAAACCGGTCCAGCTTCAGCTGTTTCAATATGCAAGGGGATCTGGAGGTACAATTTTGTAGGGAATTCAGCCATGAATCTTTGCCAACTTTTGGAGTTATCACTGGAGAGCTAAACAGAGAACACAACAGATATGAGAATATTTACCCACTTCAAGGAATTTGAATAGCTACAGGAGTTTAGTGCAGAGGTTTATACTTCTCTCCCAAGTCCTTTTGTATCAGAGTCAGCAATTGGATATGAAAATGGACAACTGGAGATAATCTTCCTTTGCACCCACGTCCCCCACGTATTAGTTCATAAAGTACATATTCGGGCTCCCCTTCCTTCAAATCAAGAATCTATCAAAGGAGAATGGGTAATGTAAAAAGTGAGAAAAAACAAAATGCTACTAAAATCTTGATTTTGTTACTAATCTACAAAAGTATTATCAATAAAAGAGAAACAAGGCAACAAATCAACCAAACATTTAAGTAGCAAATGGTGTATATTTATAGCCATTGTCCATCAAAATCATATTAGTAAAAGCTTAACAAATATACGAAGTACAAAGAATAACTGGCACTACAGTCATCAATGTTATATACCTCATGTTTGAGAATAGTTGAGTGACAAGAATAGGATAATAGTGAACATCAAAAAACTTAAAACGGAATAGATGCATAGTAAAACATCAAAGTGAATGCAAATTGTGCTTTATCTATGGACCCGACTAAGAACTGGAAATGTTCTCTATTATGTCACTTCTCTCAACCTATGAAGATGGACACCTCTTCGGAGGTCGCGTACAAGTGTCCGACACGTGTTGGACACAGACACAGACACAAACACGTGTCAGACACGTTGGAAAGAGTTGGACACGATGGGACACCTTGGACACGCTATGGACACATTGAGGACACGCAAGGGACATGTTGAGGACACACTAGGGACACGCTGAGTATTATTTTTTTAAAAGAAATTTTTTTTTTTTTAATTAAAATAGCATACCTAAGGTTAATAAATTGTATAAAATTAAATATTTGACATAAAATACATATTAAATATTTAAAAATATACATATAATAAATATATATATTTTGAACGTGTCCCCAACATGTCGCGTCCTAGCATTTTTTGAAAATTCACATGTCCGCATATCCGTGTCGTATCACGTGTCCATATCCATACTTCTTAGCTCTCAACTAACAGAGTATATACCATTATTCACCAACTAGTTTTACTAGAGTGGTTGAAATGCCAAACAAAACCTTGATACTGCAAGTAATATCAACAGATGCTAAGTTGCAGTTTTTTTCCTGCTACAAAAAGAAGTAAAGTTCACTTGCCTCATCAAAAGCAGCACAGAATTCCAAAAATTGCAAGGCATGGCCAACAGCTTCCAGTGGTAGGTCAATTCCAGCAACAGTTGTCAACTCAGTGCCCTGAGGCAATGGGATGTCCGGATTACTATCTTTGTTTTGGAGCTTCATAGCATTTGTTTGTTTTCTGCTATGCCTTTGTTCTTTATTCTTTTCACGTTTAATCAGTTTATATGAAACTCCCTTAGAAACCCTTGTTTCCAGTTTCTTTTCCTCTTCTAGAACTCCAACTGTTTGACTAGTTTTGTCCTCTTTCTTGGAGACTCCATTAGAAATTCGAGATTTTTTGGTACTAGTCTCCTTCAACATAATCCCATCAATCGAGTTGCCTTCTTTTATGTCCTTTAACCCATCCTGCTTCATTTTCTTCCGTTTTCTCTCATCAAGGTTTGATGGCAGAGGTGGAGTATGTGTTGGCCCAACATCAATGCCTTTTACAATCTTTTTAATACCAAAATTTTCAGGGCCTTTAGCATGAAGCATCTCTGAAACAGAGGAAAAACCAGTTGTCCTGGCTGTGTGTATAAGTATACCAGTGGGTTGGTGTCCTTGCTTCTTCCTGAAAAGAAAATAATTTGAGATTCACCAACACGATACTTAAAACGCCAATGAAAAGTAGAAAAGTTTACAAAATAAACACTAACCTGCAGAAACTGCAGTTGCAGATGCCTCTGCACTTCGGACAATTCCAGTCCCCCAAAAATGCCACGTCTTCTGTTTTTTCTCCATATCTGTTCTAAGATCAGACATATCTAAGCATGGAATACAATACAGAAACATTCCAACTCCTCATATATATATACACACATCAAAAAATAAACTACTAGATTACAAGAAGCACATCATTGTATATAACCTGTTCCAGAGGCATTTGTGACAAAACTTGATAGTACATGGCTTGTCCTTCTTCAGATTCTTGCAGGCAGCCACAAAATCCATGGTTCTATGACGGCACTAAAATATAAAACAGTTCAATTATAAGAACAAAAATGAGATCCTAAAGATGAAAAAGAACCATAACAGTCCACTGGCTTAATAGGAACTTGAAAGGAAAATCCTTCCATGAAATGGTTCTTGAAGTAGTTTGCTAGATTACAAAATCCAGACTAGATCAAACTTTTGCTGCAGTGGTTATGACATTTGGCGTGAGAGGATTTGCAAGATTTTTCAAATTGAACATATAGACTATAATGTGACATTTCAAAAGATGTTACAGATTGCCCAAGGTGCCAGGAGTATGTGGCATTAGTATAATGACACCAGTTCACTAATTGTAATTTGTTTGTTACTGGTATTCTGTTCCTAATGCCTTATGTTGAGTTTATTTCTGAGTTTCACCTCAATGTTATGGTTCTGTTTTCTTCTTTTTTTTCTTGTTTTTCTTTTATGTATATCATTCAAAAGTTAGCCATGCCTTAAATTTATAGTTCAATTAAAAAAGTACACCCTCAATGTACATTTCTCTCCATTAACAAAAATGAAATCTAAACAAGCAACAAAATTATTATTAAAAAAAGAAAAAGAAAAAAGAAAAAAGAAAAGTGGATGTTGAACTTGCATTACTGGGGTGTGTGGACCTAACAATTATGACTAAAAGGTGAATGATAGACTTGCTCTATGAAAAATCAAAACAAAAAAACTCTAATATTCAAAAAATAAATAATAAAGATCTCCAAACACCCCTTGAAATAATCACATGGCTAAGAGAGCAAAATTTCTCCATACCAATACTATGTTACCAAAAACACAAGATGGTTTTGGTTATGTAGAACAAAAACAGAAACATTATACACCAAATGCTCTGAAATGTGACACCATAGGAGTAGACTTGTATAGATTATACTACTAAAACTTGAGGTACTTATAGAGAAATTTCATTTTAACAATCAGGCATTTAACAAATTATAGTCTATTGTTCTTCAAATTAATCATATAAAGCACATTTATGAGAGTATTATGCTCATTTTTTTAAACAATTTGGCATACCAAAACTCCACTCTCCTTAGATTTTAATTCATTACATTTGTGTTTTTTTCCTCCTAAAGAATCCTTTAAGGAAATAAAATGGCAAATTTTTTTGGATCGGTTTGGCTCGCTAAATTCACCACTTTAGAACAAAATTGTACCAATTTTAAGAATGTGTGTTCCAAAACGCAAATCACTAAGTACTAAGGTATTAGTGTTTTTTCGTAAAATTGTTCCAAAACCAAAGCCAAATTACATTAGTACTACTAGTAGATCAAAAAAATTATTTTGTTCCTTCATTTTCATTGATTTTCTATTATATCCTAAAGGGTTGCTAGACTTGTACTCATGCATTCCATTAGTACTAGGTCTTTGGCTTACTAGATTTATACTATTAATATTAGCTAAGGCTGACACCCCCTACTAAGGTTTTTTTAATTTAACAAATAATAATAAATGATGTATCATAACTTTCTCCCCGAGAAAATAAAACATAAGAATTTCAATTTAAACATCCCATCTCTATTGAATTTGAGAGTGTATAGACAGATAGGGAGATGAGAGACTCATTAATTGATCAAAGAAACAATGGTTTGTAAATGAAAATTGAAATTATATGTTCAAGTGTATTGGGCAGCACCCTTCTGCACCATGTATATGTTCCAATTCCAAAATATTGAAAAAGGGCTTAGTTGGAACATAGTGAGAGTGGAAGTTACTTCAATGAACCGGCAAGGCAAGTATGTTATGCTACCAAAAAGATCATAGGACTTGATTTCACACATTGCCAAAATATATATATATATATATATATATTCAGTGACCAAGTCGATACAATCACATAAGTTTTTGTAAAATTAACTTTACAGATGTTGAGTTTTAACATATGTAACTTTAGCTGTGGAGAATTGTGCCTACCCCATTACTATATGTACACTTTTGGTTGTAAAGACAACGTGCAAAAGGAAAAACGTAAATCTTGAAGCACTGAATTTTATTTTTTGAAACCGGTATATCCAAAGTTTCAAAGTCAAATATATCGAATAAATCATACGAATTGTTCGTTCAAAAGGCCTAACCAACTTAGCCTAAGGGATTCAAATTTCTGTCCTCTCTTTCTCTCATTTGTCTTGTTAATGTATTATATGTTATTAGCTGTTAGTATTATTAGTGTACAGAAAAGCTGTAAAGTAAAGCATAGCTAGTTGTCATTTATATTATATAATATGTAATGTTTCTTGCTTTCGGCGTCTAACTTAGCATCCTATGCTGTTATCTCCTCTCTATAAAGAGAGTGTTCATCTTCTTGTAATAATATACAGAAATACAGAGTTATTCATTTTGCTCTCTCTCCTTCTCTCTCTATCAATTTATCTTTCATGTCTAAATAACCAAACAGGACAATAAATGGGTTTCCTGGAATTTTCTATATAGTTCTGTTTGTATGTTTCCATCACACACACAAACACCGCTTGGTTACCCAGAAAACGTACAGGGCAAGGCAAAAATTCAAATATTAAAATCACAGGCTGTTAATTGCAAGGCTTAGTTAGCGGATATGAAAATTGTAGGTTTAAAATCCGCAATGAAAACAAAAAGATAGGATAAAAATGTGTGCGTGTACAGTGCATACGCATATGAACTGCATTCTAACTTCCCCAAATTTTCTCAAAACTATCACATTGATCAAAGAAACAGAAAAAAGAACAAATGGGCTTTGATCATCAACGTACCTGATGACAAGTCTTCCCATTCCAAGAAGAGTAGATTTGATCCTCAAAACTTGCGCACTTTGCGCTCTTCTTGGCCGGCGATGAACAACCAATCTCAGATTGTTTCCGAGATTTTTCTTCCTTCTTCTCACTGTTACTGGTCTTCCCATTCTGTTGATCAGATAAATCATCCCGTGAGCTTGAAGGCACCGCCATTGTCGCCAACTGTGATGTTGGCTTCGATGGTGGTTCAAACTGAGAGTACAGAGAGACAGATCGCCAATCGAAATTTTCACTATTTCTGAATTGTTGGGTGCGTATGGCGGGAGATGATGGAATTGGAAGAGAATTGAATTCCCCGCGAATTTCGAAATTGGAAATTTAGGAAGCGCCAAATGAAATTAGGGCTTTAATATAAACCGAACATGAACAAACAAACAAACATCTGAGCTAAGTCGGTTCGGTTTATACATACACATCCACGAAATACCAGATATCACCCTCCCGAATCCTGACTGAGGCCCCCCTCTAAACCGCCCAATCACCAGAAAAGTGGATCGTTGGCCCAAACACACCGAGTACAGGTCCAATGTCAAATAAAATATGACAAATTACTCACAAGCCTTTTTTTGAAAAAGTACGTATAGATATGTTATATAAGAAAATGAAAGTTTTTAATTCATACAATTTGTAGGAACTCTAATATTTTAATTTTAATTTTTTTTAAAAAAAATTTAGTATTTATTAACTTCTCTTAATTCATAAGTCTTTTTGACTTGTTCCGTACCTACTGTTGTACTTTTCAACTTCTCCCATATACTATGTCTTGTGATGGATTATTAAATTATTTTTATAAAAAATCTTAAAAAATTAATTTGGATATTAAAAAAATATTTAAAACAAATATAAATTCTTATTAAAAAATAACAGGTTGCAATTGCAAGAAAAAGAAAAAAAATTACACTGCATTTCATTAATAATGCTCAACAAATTTGTCAAGTATTTGTATAAAGGCTTAACACGTGTCCACTCTCAAATCTATATATTATATAAGGAAAATGAGATTTATAACCGCAAGTCTTGTGGGAACTTCAATATCTTAATATTAACTTTTTAACCTTTTGATTTTTTTTAAAAAAAAAAACTCAACATTTATCTACTTCTCACAATCCACAAGCGTTTTTTATTTCTCTCATACCTACTACCACACTTTTCAACTTCTCCCATACACTATGGTTACTGATGAGATTATTAAATTATTTTTATAAAAATCTAAAAAAATAATTTGTATATTAAAAAAATATCTAAAACAAATATAAATTCTTATTAAAAAAATAACATGTTGTAATTGCAAAAAAATAAATAAATTACACTATGCATTTCATTAATAATGCTCAAAAAATGTGTCAAGTGTTTGCGTAAAGACTTGACAGGTGTCCACACTCAAATTATCAAATGAATATAGATGAAGTCAAATAACTCAACTTTAATGGCTAACAAATATTAGAAGCCCGACTATTGAAGCCTAATAACTATTAATTAATAAAATTTAATAATTGAAATGTCTCAAACCACTTCTCTTTGTCTTCTCAAATGTTCCTTTCTTTTTAATCATGCATTTATTTTAATATTGATAGAGAATTGAGCGTGTGGAAAAGTGAGAGACATTAAAATTATATATTTGAGTTATGTAATTGTCGTGATAAAAAATAAATGTTATTTTCCCTTTCTATAGCGATTTATCTAGTTATACCTTCAATTAAAAGGTCAGGTGTGTTTATATATCATCATTGAACGTTACTTTTATTTTTTTTAAATATTTTGTCTCACAATTATTCGTGCTTTGTATTATCAAAATTATTACATATGTATTTGCTGAAACTATTAGATAAACCTAATACAAGAAGTGTAGACTATTTCAATATCATTATCGGGATTAAAAACACAAAAAAAAAAACATACACAAAAAAATATAAATAGACAAGATTTTACAAAAATTTGTTTGTGAGTCTCACCTCTTGAAAATCCTATAATTCATTTATTTTTTATATTATGTTTTATGTTTGGTTTCTGTACTTTTTTTTGTTATTATATAGTTTTCTTTGTTTTCTTTAAAAATTAATAAATAACTAAATAAATCATTTTTAGTTCAAACCATTTAATTTTTGTTTATTATCAAGATTAAAAACACAAAAAAAAAACATACACAAAAAAATAAAAATAGACAAGATTTTACAAAAATTTGTTTGTGAGTCTCACCTCTTGAAGATCCTATAATTTATTTATTTTTTATATTATGTTTTATGTTTGGTTTCTGTACTTTTTTTTGTTATTTTATAGTTTTCTTTGTTTTCTTTAAAAAATTATTTTTAAAAATTAATAAATAACTAAATAAATCATTTTTATTTCAAACCATTTAATTTTTGTTTTTTATTCTTTATTTTTTCTTAAAGTAGTTTTAGTTTTGGACAAAAAAAAAAAATTCTTCTATATATTGTAATTTTGTGCATTTTAAGTGTATAATGTTTTCACTAATACACTCGGATATGCACTATGAAATAAGTATCATGCGAAAATCAAGCAAGAAGAAGAAAAATAAATAAAACAATTCGATGAATGTGGAGCAAAGATCCAATATCAAAACTGTTGGAAAATTGGTTTTATAAGGCTTATTTTTGGTTAACTTTGAGCCCAAAATTGAGTGGGCCCCAAACGTCTTTTGGGGTGGGTCCGAAAAGGTAACATGTTCCTCGCCGCACGGCAAGTCACACGGTGAAGACGGTTCGTCAAAACTATTTATGAGTGAATGGGAAGTTGACGTCATTTTTGGGTTCACGGAATGGACAATTAAATAAGTAAATGTGGGTTTCTTTGAATTGGGTTGTCCCACATTGAAACTTTAAGAGAGCTTTTGTGTGAATATAAGCTCTAGATTACAACACTTGGGTTGGGCCGCAAGGGGCACCCCAAGTTTGTAGAATGGAGGAGTTATGAACAAATGAAACCTTAGCCCAAACCACCACACGTGCGCCGCCACCACCGGCCGGCCATATCGGGCGCGAGTGTGGGTAAAGTCGATTTTTATATTAATTTTTTGGACAAAATTCATTTGAATTTTTCCTAAAAAATTATTGCGGGTAATTAATTCAAATTTGGTGTCCAAAAATTGTGCCTCCAAATTCCACTAATGCCTAATTGTTAACAGGTTTTTTAAACTGCCGGACAGAGTTAAAACTGTCCAAACAGGTTTCTTCAAATCTATTGGAATTTCGAAAAGATTCAAATTCAAAACTGCCCAGGTAGTTTCAACAGTTTCTGAACAGTTATATAACTGTAGCAATTACCATATCTGTTCAGTTTCTAGTTTGTATCTGTTGGCAAATTTCACACCTATTCAGGCAGGACCTTTTTGCCTATAAATACCTACATTTCCAGCAGTGTTGGATCATCCAAAACAGTCTGAAAAATCTTTTTTTTTTTTTTTGCTATCTTATTTTCTGCACTATTGCATATATTATTCATTATTAGTTTTTAGGGATTTTTTATAGAGAGTATAGAACACAAGGTTCTAGTTCGCCAGAAAAATTTGTTTGGAGTGCTACTACAAATTTGTAAAGATCATTGTATCCTGAGAGATAGACGTCATTAGTCCGTAAGCACCGAAGCGAGGTGAATCTGTCTTAAAGACAGAGTGTCACACACTCAACTTAGTCTTTAATTATTCATTTGGTTCGAATAAATTTGGTATGTAATTTATTTTATTTGTTTGATTTGTTTCGATTTATTTATTGTATACAGAAGATTGTTTCAACAATCTTAAGACAGATCCGAATTATTCTGTTTACAGAATTTTTCGTTTATTTCTTTTCTTCTTTCTTCTTCTTACAAAAATTATTTTCTGTGATTTTACAAAATAATATTCTGGTTGAAAAACAAATAGTAATAACATACTGTTTGACATATAGTACTAATATACTGTATATTTTCTTTGACAACTAATAGTAATATACTATTAATTAAAAATAATTCATTTTTTTTTCATTATTAAAGTGTTACGAGAATTTAATTTTCTGTGTATAATTAATTTGGTTAAATAAAATCTTATTTTATTTCCAAATTAATTGAAAAATAAAAGTTACAGTCTTGTTTCTTTTATTTTACATAATTTAATTCTGTAAATTTGGATTAATTTTCTGTGTAGTATAAATTCTAAATATAATTTTGTTTTATAATTTAGAATTCATGGCTACTGAAACAAATGCTCACTAGTGTGGTGGCTGCCATTGCGCCAACCCTCTATCCTGTTTTGACCGTACCGGTAAATCACGGTGAGAAGCCAGAAAAGTTCTCTGGAACTGATTTTAAAAAATGGCAACAGAAAATGTTATTCTATTTTACTACTCTTAACCTGGCACGCTTTCTCCATGAGGATGCTCCTATTTTGAAAGAGGATGAAACCGACCGGCAAGTGGTTGCTGCGGTCGATGCCTGGAAACATGCTGATTTCCTTTGCCGAAACTACATCTTGAACGGACTTGACAACACATTATACAACGTCTACAATCCTATCAAGACAGCAAAGGAACTTTGAGAGTCTTTGGAGAAAAAGTACAAAACGAAAGATGCCGGCTCAAAAAAATTTGTGGTTAACAAATTCCTAAACTTTGTGATGGTTGATTCTAAGACTGTGATCAACCAAGTTCAAGATCTCCAACTCATTCTGCATGGCATTCATGCAGAAGGCATGTCTCTCAGTGAATCCTTCCAAGTTGCAGCCTTAATTGAGAAATTACCACAAAGTTGGAAGGAATTCAAAAACTACCTCAAACACAAACGCAAAGAAATGCCTTTGGAAGAATTAATTGTGCGTTTGAGGATTGAGGAGGACAACTGTCACGACCCAAACCCGGCCCTATGGGTTTAGCACCGTAACCGGCCAGTAATCCGAGATTACCGAAGGCCTGCTTAACAGTAATACAGTAAAACAGAGTACAGGGCCTGGCGGAAGCCAATACAGTAATTAAACAATGTCCAATGAGCTGTGACAGTCTGTATGCAAAAGATTTTTTCCATGCATTCATACATAAACAGTACAGAACAGTATGTACAATATCCACATCCATTCAACTAGGGACTCAACCCTCCAGAACAGTACAGGAAACATTCCGTCTGTACAAAACAGTACGGTCTATACAAAACAGTAAAACAGTACAGAAGGGGGAAAAACAGACAAAACAGCCCCAAGCCATAGCATGGCAACTCGGAACCTCGCAGTGAGGCACAAAGGCTGGCTTGACAAAACTGGAGTAACCCTGACGCCTCTAGCTGCGGTCTGGTGCCTGAACACCTACATATATATATGAGCAGTGAGCTAAAGCCCAGTGAATAACATAAAGCGTAAAGGGGTTAAAAATGAATGTCCTTCCAGTATGAAAACAGTTCATTTCAATCAGTCATTCAGTTGTTTAGTACAATAAACAGTCATATGTGGTACATC